ATGGATCGCGTCCACTTACCGGGGTTCAGGCTAGCCGTTGAGATCTAGATTTCTTATTTTCCTGGTTTTCTTGATTTTCTTTCTTGCTTCCGGAGCATTGGAGTGGGGCTTGTTGCTCGCGCGAATGGCGTCTAAGCTATCACTGCTTCTTCATGGCCTAGTGCCCGTGGGCTAGAAAGGGCGTAGTTGTCGCAACGTGGGCTCCACATTTGGATTACGAATTGCGACGTGGTCCGAATTGGAACACTTTGAGCTACAGGTGGCATGTCCTAGTCCCGTTGAATCGGGCCGAGAGTCGGCCGTGCTCATGCTTTTCTCTTACCATTGCAGCCCAGTGTGCTAATAGGCGAAAGTGGTCAAACAGGTCCGGCATCTGGCAACGAAGCGGTGTTCATTTGATTTTTCTTAATACCAATGTTTAATGTAATTCAAAATCAAGATCACAAGACTTCGTGATGCGTGGCTTGTTGTGAAGTAACAATGCATACGCTTATATGTGTGTATCATTGTATCATATCTACGCCTAGGGAAAGTCGTGCGGCCACAAAACAGAAAACAAGCATGCCTCCATCAGTCGTTATATCATCGCTCTGCAATTCCAGCAGCGAGCGTAAGAAGATGATCCTCCCATTTCTCTCCATCTCTAGTTCGCATCACCTATCGGCGTGAAAACGACCTTGGCACTAGGCTTGGGCAGGATGGTCGATCTCCAAGTGAACAAGCGCTTCGCCGTCGGGTTAACAAGCTCACAGTCGTAGTTGAGGATCACTTGGCCAAGAATGACCTTCATAACAGCCGAGGCATAGTATCTTCCTGGGCTACATATTCCGTTAGCAAGATCTTCATATGGAACAGGAAAGATCAACTAGGCTCAAGACTTACCAGGCCATTCTTCCGGTTCCCCAGACATGGAAAGTCATGTCAAAGTCAGTCAGCTTCGTAGGCTTCTTCTGCATGATATCGAAAGCGCCATTAGCATTTTCGAGACTCTTGACGAGCTGCGGGTCGGCGAAGCGGAAACCACTGAAGGTTGTTGCCTCGGGGTAATCGACAGGGTTCGTCATGATGGCTCGAACAGGTGTGCAGAACCAGTCTCCGACGTTGACGTGGGTGCCGTCTTTGAGCGAGAAGGGTTGTAGTGCCGAACGACGTGTACTTTGTGACTCGACTGGTGTCAGACGCGCAGACTCCTTGATGAAGCTGTCAAGAAGAGGAAGTCCTACACCACTCTGTTCAAAAGCGGCATATTGAGACTCGCACTCCTTTCGCAGCGGCTCCGCATATTCGGGATGTAAGCAAAGGTCGTGAATAGCAAAGGTCACAGTGGTAGAGACGGCATGAACAGAACCGAACCAAATGGCCATCAGTTCGTGAACAACACGCTGAGGTGTCCATGGCGCATTCTTGGGTGAGGTCTCCATGATCCATTGGATGCAGTCGGCGTGTTGAGGGACCTTTTGGCCCAGTTTAGCTGCATCTCGCTCAATGCATCGCTCTTGTGCGATTGGTAGAAGCCTGTTGAAGATTGTGGCATGTGACTTGAGTGTACGGGCAATGATACCACCGACGATGGGAGCCATGAATCCAGGTAGTAGGCGGACAATCTCAGCACAAATCAGGGTCTCCTCGATGTATGCGAGGGCGGAGACCATGAATTGCTCATCCTTTGCCAGATCTTTTCCGAAGAAAGAGACTGCATTGGATAGGACAACGAGCTTCACAGTCATGTGATATACGTCCGACTGCTTCTTTCCTGTCAATAATCGTCAGTTCGGATTCAAAGTCAAATATTGCATGCATTATTACCATTGATGACTGGGTGTGTGGCATGAAGCTCCTGGAACCTAGTGCGGATGATGCAAGTGAGATCAGGAAGGATCTTAGGTAGGTTGTTGGTCAAAAGCGTGCGAAGGGCGCGGATGAATCCAACACCCTCAGTACCACGTCGGTCAAACCAGTTGAAGCCATGCCTGCGGAGCGTTAGTAAGCTTAGTGCAAGACGAGCATCATCTGGATACTCAAAAGTCATCTCACATAGTATACATGGGCTGTAGCATCTACATCTTGTTAGTCATAAAGAAGAACAAAGCCTATCGAGATGCATACCTGCTTCGATGCTGCTTGGAGGGACAACACCGTGTCTGGCGCATTGTCTAGCTCCTTGATTTGCTGAGGATCAGAGACGAAGACATAGCGATTGTCCGGGGCGAAGAGCTCGAATGGTTTTCCCTTCGCCTCATCAAACGCTTTCTGGATGATCTCAGGACCCCAGAAGAGATATGCCCATGCTTTGTACCGCTTGGTGACAGGCCTGAAGATGGTCTTCAGGATCTTTGCTGGAGAAGAAGCCTATTCGACTGGTCAATGTGATGAAAGAGAGGAATATGTTTTGGTACATACCAGCTTCTTCGCGACCAAGGCCTTGTAGAAAAAGAAAATCGATATCAAACCGAATATGCTACTCGCAGCATTGACTGCCAATGGGCTAAGGCCAGGCAGATGTATGCTCTGCATCTCTAGAAACTCCATGATGGCAGTAAAGTTTGAGAGTAAGAATTTAGATTGAGGCTAACGGACGTAGGGTATTCAGCATTGGTACATATACAAAGCAACCATCTTGACGGTGCTCTAGCTACAGGTTTTGCTACGCGGAACGGCCGGTTGAAGCGAGCTGTTACATCACGTCTAAGCCTCTATGCAGTGAACTAAATTCGTTGTTAGTTAGTTGAACTGTGCCGCTGTCCTGCAGTAAAAACTGATCAATATCAGCCCACCTGCATGCTACACAAGCTGCATCACTTCATGTGAGGTCTCACCTATCGTTGTGTTTCGCTTTCGACAGAAAGGCGACCAACTGACCCTTCTCTTAGCGCTACCACAGCGTCTGCTATCCTAGAAAGTAAGTAGACCCGATGCAACTACAACAGAAAACACGAAGCGCATGCGTCCACAAAGCTGGAATAGCCAACGGACCGATCCACAAAGGTGTAGCGCGGGAATCGGGGAAAACGGTTGAACGTCTGGACGGGTCCGAGGCTGCGGCTCTAATTTGAGCCCAGTGCGCAAACGAGTGGTCGAATCAGAGCTAGATGGGGAAAGACTCCGTGCGCTAAATGACGGAAGAGCTTCTTGAGGCACCCCTGGCCGTTAATACGGCTAAATCATGCCGTAATCGTTGATTGATTGCTGTCAAAGAAGACGGCGAATAGATACGTCTCCACGGCAAGTTATCGCGCTCCAGGATGACAGATGCAAAAGCGCGCTTAAGCAGTATTGCCCCACACGGCACCACTACCCAGACATAAGACCGACGGCCCGTGTCTGATTGGAGGGCTGAGAGTCTAGTGGAGTCAAATCCGACGTCGGTCTTGAATCGTGATATGTACCTCAACTGCAACTAAAGACGCAATTGGGAAGAAAGAGTCTACTTACCGCTAATTCCCTGGCCGCAATGCTTCTGGGAAAAGGTCCTACTTCGGTCGTCCTTATGTGAGAGGCCAGGTGATCTAACACGTCTTCGTGTCTCTAGGATCTCTTAAAGTCGTTGCAGGGTTTAATCGTCATCGCAGTCGAATATATCGATAGCGGGTCGTAAAGGTAACATCGCGGGTAAGATTATCTGCACGCAATGAACTCGAGGGCCCGCTTCTCCATAGGTTCCTGTTCACTCGATTATGCAACACTCTTCCCACGTGTCCGGTTCCAAATGACGCGGTCGCCCACTGGCCCGGCTTGAATCCCGGGAAACAATGCTTGCGCACGTGCAAATATGCATTGGCTTGATTATGGTGAAGCAAGTCAACGGGTTTCGTGTACATCTCTCGAATGCTTTCTCGTTACATGTTGAGATATACGAAGACGCTTGCATGTAGTAGCATGTCTTTAGCAGGACCGGTGAAAGAACCCGTAATCCATAACTGTAGCAGCTAGATCCAAGTGACCATGGTGTGCCTTGGCATATATAATCGACTCCAGGCGAATCTACTGGATCTTGATCGGAAGATAGCGAGTAGTTGGGGCTTTCATGTGAAGGAAAGCTCCGGCCACAACTCGAGAAGCGACGAACTAGCGCGCACACAGCATACGTGTGCGCCGGGCGAAGATATCGGTGTTCGATACGGACCCATCTCCACATTCAAGTTCGAGATGCACTCAAACATCTGTATAGATCGCGCCACATGACGCAGCTCCTTCTGGCCGAGGTTTGTCGGATTGATAATGGTTGGGGCCAGTTTCAGACTACTTGGACCACAGCTCCACCATACTTTTGCACCAAACCTTTGGTTAATGGTCTTGTTCCCGACCCCACGCAATTCGCTCCCGGAGTGTGATCTCGAACCGACGTTATGGGTTTGACTAACATGTGAGATTAATCAAGGCCTCTGAAAGACCAGATGATTGTGATATTGCTGTGGACGACCCCACGCCTATCCCAGATATGGAAGTCTGCCGACCCGAGCCGTGTGTGGAGCCGCGCGGCTGACGCACTGTCGTACAACCTTCCTCAAAGAGTGAAAACTACTGTGACAGTCTGTGCAAGTAGTCTGCAGTAAGTGCATTGCATGCTGCAACACCGGAGCAACTCTGCTACCCTGAAAATCATGCCGTTCTATGTCCCACTCAGCCGCGCCAGCACGATGGGTCGTTGGGGGCCTATCGATTGCGGAATTCGAGTTGGTAAGCCTTCGATGATTGGTTCGGTCAGCTCGGTGAACGCCGCAATTAACGGCATATTCGGTAGACTGCAATCCTACAATCAATATATGCAAAGCAAAGTGCTAGCTTGTTGGAAAGGCTCGGCTACTACATACCTGCTGCAAGGAATCCTTGCTCGTTTCACAGCGCCCAATAAATATCCGGTTTAACGCAGAGGCTGTACGAAGAAACTTGGACGGCGGTACAACTCTTGCCGTTGAAGGCTCGTCGTGCTGGACAGTGTACTTCAAGCGTGTAGATTGTCGAATACTCCTCATTGTTTCTATGACCTAACTCGGCCAAGAATGGAGCTTATCATCACGCCCACGCAAGCACTTGTGCCTTTGTCAGTCCTGTTCCTAGTATACCACGCACTTCGAGCATTGTTCTTCGGAAAAGCAGAATCAAAGCATTGGGAAGAGCTACCGGTCGTAGGCCTCCAGAAAGGATGGTTCGAATGGGTGTGGGCAACGTTGAAGTCCATCCGAAAGACACAGGACTGGGCGTTCGAAGGTTACCGCAAGGTATGATTGTCGTCGACATTGATAGAGGTATACTCATTCTCGCTACTGCAGTTTGCTGCCGTGAACAGCCCTTTTATTCTGCCTAGCATTGACAGAGGAGCGATGATCATCCTACCTCCACGTTTGATCAAGAAGGTCTACTCGCTCCCAGAAAGCACGCTCGACATCCATGCGACGCAAAGTGAGACCATTCAAACGAAATGGACAGTCTGGGACAAAGAGGTAGCCGACAATGACTTCCAGATCAATGTTGTGCGTCATCAGATTACACGGAATCTCGAGCACCTGACGCCGCTGATGGCCGATGAACTTGACAGAGGCTTCGAGCGGTGGTGGGGAGGTAAAGACGACACCGAGTGGAAGGAGGTCGCGGTATGGGACGCGTGCTTGAAGTTGATTGCCGGTGCGAGTAATGGCGCCTTCTGCGGCGCACCGCTGTGTAAGTCGGCAATAGTGCCTTACGTGAGAGGTTTAGAAACTGATTCTATCGTAGGTCGAGACGAGCAGTTTTTGAACGATCTTAGGGATCATGCGATGAGCATCTTCGCTGGCGCTATGCTTATCAACGCGACGCCCAAACCGCTCAAACCTGTCACTGGTGCTCTTGTAGGATCCACCTGCTGGTACTTGCGACGAAAAGCGATGAAGGGTTGTTTGCCTTTTGTAACAGAAAGATTAAATGCTACTGCCCAGTTCAAGGCTGATGCGAAATGTGGATGGACCCCACCAGTAGGATTCCCCCTTGTGTGAGATATGCACATCAATATACTTACGCGATCCCAGAAAGACGGTCTCCAATGGCTGATCGATGAGTGCTACGCCGCAGCCGCGAAAGGAGACGTGGGGCAACTGGACCCGAAGCGAGTGGCACATCGTCTTTTGTTGGTTAACGACATTTCTCTGCATTCGACCAGCTTTACTGTACAAAATGTGATCCTGGATCTCTTCAGCTCGGATCCAGCAATGGGTTATGTTGATGCACTACGCGAAGAAGCTGCATCGGTGCTTGCCAAGGCAGGTGGTGTATGGACACGCGATGCAGTGCGAGATCTGAAGCTCATTGACTCGATGATCCGTGAGTCAATGAGACTCAATCCATTTGCGATTGTTGGACTTCCGCGAACAGTATGTATGCTGTCAGATACTATGGAACTGAAACTAATAAGTCGCAGGTCGTGCATCCCGAAGGTATCCGACTTCCGGTGTCCAACATTCATGTACCACAAGGAACCATGATTGCAGTTCCCATGGAGCCGATTCATTATGACGAAAGCATTTATCCTCAAGCACGCAGCTTCAACGCGTTTCGTTTTGCGGATCCGAACAACGTTACTAGTATCGTCGACAATTTCGCAACCAAGGATGATCTCGAAGCCACCAAAGCCGATGCAAGCGACCGTAAAGGCAAGTCCACTGCTACTCTTGATGACGCTTTCCTTGGTTTTGGGTTTGGACGGCATGCGTGTCCTGGACGATTCTTCGCTTTGAATGAGATGAAGGTCTTCATAGCACACATGCTGCTAAACTATGACGTTGAGCACATGGCAGTCAGACCAAAACCACTGGATACTGTATGGCTGAAGCTTCCGTTACATGGTGGAAAGATCCGAGTGCGTCGAAGGCCGACAGTTGCATAGATAGGACAAAACATGCTTTGCTTATCTGTGTATCGAGTGCAACCCTATAATCGCTACTTTGATGATACGATGTAATCCATGTGTATCTGCCAGAATAGGGAATTGTACCAACGGTAGGGAACAGTCGTGGGTAAGACATAGCCCGTTTGCCTGAGACGGATGTCGCTTCCTCGACCGCAACATACAGTTTCGTGCGGGGAGCCATAGCACCTAGAATCTGAGCCGAGGCGATGGATGTGTATCAGCGCAATCTACCCAGGATATAGTGGCTAAGAATGGGAATTAGCATTGTACGTTTCTGCTTGGGTGGAAAGAAGTATCCCCCTGAGGAAGGAGCTAGACACCTACCACGGGCTTGACGCTAAGACACATGCCGATTCACACGAGGGCGGCAACGCGATAGACTAGGAGCGTTGGTGTGCAAGACGAAATCGGTGCACATTTTTTATGATTGCCATGAGCTGCTCAAACACTCCCGCACTAATTGTACGCGTGCTTCGAGACTGACCACGTGATTAGGTACTAGCGTATAACGAATGCCACGAACGGCAGGCTGCTTTCGGAACGCGTTGTCGATGTGCGTCCACTCTTCTGTTCCAGTTGGCATCAAGCGCGTCCCATCATCGACAAGCCAAGTACAGCCAGCTTCACATAGTATCACGACGCCCGCCTTCATACGCCGCTCGAGCTCTCCCCACTTCTCCGATGCCAGCATCTCTTGCGCCGCCTCCTCGCCCACGAACAGTTGCGCATATATGATGGGATCGAGACCGGAGCAGTCGGAAACATACCATGTTGCCCGAGTGTCGGGGACGATGGCAGTCTGTCCAGCTTCATATTGCGCATCGAGAATGTGCTTCTGGAGCTGCAACGCTCGCGACAGCGATATAGTAATGTCGTCGCGGCTGAAGTGCTTGTCTCTCAAAACCGTGCGCGCAACCTCCCGGATGACCACTGGCCTCGAGGACTTCCCTTGTAAATGATTGGATGATTCACCTGGACCGAACATGTCTTTGAGTGCGTTCACAAGCGTCGTCTTTCCAGTGCATTGTGCACCGATAATGTAGAGGCATGGACCTTGGACCACATCACTTGCCATCTTGTCTATTGTCAAGGCTCGAGAGGACCTGAAAACGGGCAGCAGGCGGTGCCCTTATCATAAATTCGCGCTTGCTGCTGTGGCGCGGTTGTGTAACATCTTCCATTCTCTCAATCCTCCTGGTTAACTTGATTTAGCCGTACGCTCTTGGTAGCCTCAACGATGAGGTGATCCTGCTCCTACACACGCTAGGTATTTCTACAGACGTGCTTCTTGAGAAACAGCAGCAGCACCTGAGTTTCCTGAGCGACGTTAGCAGAGGTGGTCCTAGGAAAGCGTTTTAGTATCCTTCGTATTCCGACAGGCTTGATGTAGCCGAGAAGCTTCTCTTGGAAGGTATTGAATCCGTCAGCTCACAGTTGAGAGCGTTAGTTCGGCAAGAATACGAGAGAACGCTAAACAAACGGGACGAACGGCGATGTCGAATCCTGATTCCCAAGTCAAGACTGCTCTTTGGCGTCTGTGACCCCACAAGCAAGAATGGTCAGCCTGGAAAGCTCAGAGAAGGGGAGTGTTTTTTACGGATAACCAACGATGGTGATAGCTTAGCGCAGACCATCATCAACACCGAAACGATGGTGACAAGAAATTCATGTCTGCATCCAGGCGACCTACAGAAGCTCAAATCAGTAGACGTCTCAGGTCTTAGTCATCTAGTTGACTGTATCGTCTTCTCAACCCAAGGACGCAGACCGAGCGCTGATCTCATGTCTGGTGGCGACTTGGATGGGGACATATGTAAATCTCTTCCTTGCATCTGAATGATACTCACTGATCACTGCGTCTAGTCTTCGTTACCAACCATGAATGCAAAGCAAGCATTGCTCTGGACAAAGTCAGCCGAGGACTTCAACAACATATCGGTAAAGTGCAACAGAATGGCGTGTTGGGTGCGGTGAGCCAATGCTCACTGTATTGAGTTTGATCTGATCTGTGTAATACTGACAGGAAACAGGAGATATACGTGATCAGCAACAGAGATGTCGACTCGATGCAAGTACTGGATGAGTGGCTAAATTTCGTCGATACTGACGAAATTCTACCACTGTTCGAAAAACTACCCATGGACTACGAAATTTCTAAGCTACACGCTACAAATTGGGACAACTTTTCAGAGGAAGTGGTAGCCGTGGTTCGCGACCAAGACTTTGCTCATCTTCGAAAACTGGAGTCGTTGGCAGAGCTGCGGACTATCCTTGATTTGCTCAATGACCATGGTGAAAAGAAGATGCTGTTCGACACATTTTCTCATATTCTTACGTTGGAGGCAAACTCGTCACTTTCGCTAGATCACACTCAAGCGGCATTAAACCTGCTCGACTTCCTGCCGAACGCGGCATATCTCATCCCCGCATTTTTCCGATCCCAAACCTGGCGAACTCATAAGTCAGTATTGGAGGACAACCTCGTCCACTTGGCTTTTACGTTATTGAGACAGCTGGTTCTTCTGACGCAAGATATGGGCAGCTTCATTCCGCGTCCGATTCAAATACTGCTACAAGGATGAAGATGCATCTCGCTGCATGAATTTGCCGAACTTGTGGAGCTCATTTCTCTCACCGTTCGCTCTTCCGAAACTGCTTTGGATCTTCTCCTCAAGGTTTTAGAGCCAGAAAGCTCACGGCTCCTAGTTCAACAACCAACTGCCATTCGACAATTCACGTCGTCTTTATTTGGCATCGCGCTTGATCATATAGACGAAGTGTCTCGGAGTGATAACCTGCATTCACAGGAAAATCCCAAGCTCAGCATTGATAATTACAGTGACGCCTATACGATAGTCAAGAGCATACTCCGTATCGACTCCTCTTTGAATTCGATACTCAAAGCTGGAGACCACGTTCGGCTCACGGCATCCGACGCGCCGCTGAATGCAGCTGACGCGAAGTTGCTCTCTATGGATGCAGTTGTATCGTCTGCTGAATTAGGCAAAGCTACGTTTCGATGCCTCCATCACCCGCCGTTGTATCTTGACAAATGTGGATGGAGTGTTACACATTGTGGATCGTTCGTTACCGCCAAGGCCTCATTCGACGCTGTAACCGCCTTTTAGACGGAGCGTGAAGCTTGTACTACAATCTATCCAATGCCTCTTGGTCTTCCTCCGACAAGACAAGGAAGACCAACTGACGTTGAGCTGCCGTTGACTGTTGACACATCACTGAACGAGAGTCAGAGTGCTGCGCTCATGGCTTCGATAAAACATTCATTGACGTTCATATGGGGTTCTCCAGGAACAGGAAAGACGCATACGATTGTTGTTATCATAACCCAACTGTTGGAAAAACTGCCTGAATCAAGATTTCTTGTGACGGCGCCAACGCAAAATGCAGTAGACAACTTACTAAGGAGGGTTGTTAGCTGCTTTGGTGCAAAGAAAGGTGGAGTCCTGCCGATCAGGGTGTCAACACAGGTAAGTGCTGTCACCTCAAACGGTCTGAGCAGTCCTTCTAACATCGTGACAAACTTTCTAAGGTCGCTCAAGACCTACGTGCATATACGTGTGATGCCATGTGGGTAAATATCTCGGCGCAACCGTCCCCGCCCGCCGTAAAGCGCAGAAGCGCATCAAAGATGCACGTCTGACATTCACAACCTGTACTGGTGCTGCGTTAGGTTTGTTAAAGAACGAACACTTCGATGTCGTTATCATGGACGAGGCCTCGCAACTCACGGAACCCGCCACCCTTGTGCCTCTTGTGAAAGAGTGTTCGCGTGCGATACTAGTTGGAGACCACGTTCAGCTCCGCGCCACGGTCCAGCAGAATGCTGTCTTGACAGGTTACGACATCTCGCTTTTCGAACGCCATTACAAATTACCGCCAAGAGAGGACGTTGCCAGAGTCATGCTTAATATGCAGTATCGCATGCATCGCTCCATTTGTGACTTCAGTTCCTCCGAGTTCTACGATGGGAAACTTCACACTGCTGTGGCCGAATACGCACGTCCTCTGAGTTGTTCGCTTTTTCCATGGCCCAAGAAGAACCGCATGGTCTGGGTTGAGTGTCCGGAATCTGAAGAACTGTATTGCCAATCAAAATGGAACGTTGGCCAAGGCGTAATCTGCAAAAGTATCATCGAACTTCTCAAGACACCACCACCGTCTCCAAAATCGACTACGGCTGCGACAGTTCCTGGTGAATCCCCATCTATCGTCATACTGACACCCTACAATCGCCAGAAGGATTTGCTTACGTCCGAAATCCCCAACGTCGAAGTCTGCTCTATCGACAGTTTTCAGGGTCGTGAGGCAGATATCGTTGTGTTTGTCACTGTTCGGTGCAATGTTTATCACGAATTAGGCTTACTGGCTGACATGCGACGATTGAACGTAGTCATGACAAGGGCGAAAGCCGGGATCTTGTTGATCGGGCACCAGAATACACTGGCTGGTGTAGAAGCTGGAATGGTTGAGAATGAGAGTAAGCTGGTTTGGAGGAGACTACTAGAACAGTGCGAGGTTGTGTCCTTGGCAGCTCGAGCCGAGAGTGGTTGTTCCAAACGCTGATGTGGAGTGTCATTTACTACCTTCCTCTTCGGATTGTACTCTTGATCTGAGGCGGCAACTATCTACTACTACCTTCGGCTTCTCTCCTTCTTGCAATCCTTCATGACTAACATTCAACCTCATCCTGCGTCTGTTGCATGAAGGAGTCCAAGCGAGACCCACAGTAACCTCCGCGGAGCCGTCGGGAGTCGGCAGCCGAGCCGTACGGCAACCTGTCACTGACATTTCATGGGTATTGGCGAGACGAAATTTCCCTGTGTTGCATTGGCGTGTAGCTGGCCCGGGCCAATAACTGAAGCATAGTGATCAATACGCCAGTGCTTCAGGTCCAGCAAATGGCTCCTTCGATGCTACCTAGGTATCTGCCGCCTTGGCTTTCAGCATGGCCTTTGCAAAGTTGAACTCGGTACGAGGTAGACCCTCAAAAGTCAGATCCACTACTAAAGTCCTAATTTTGGTACTTAGCCATATCAAGAATTGCATAGTAAGAGCCATCCTTGTTACCAATGACCGTTAGTACACAAAACTAGGCCTCTAGCGGACCCAGAGGTATATTCTTCATCATCGTGGCCATGTTTGTTGAGACATTCAAATGTAATTGTCTCGTGGTAGGCTTGCCTAATCTTTCCGATCCGAGAGCTGATGTAGGTTCTACGGACGCTGTACCACGCTTGACGGAGTGATGCCTACGCCCTTGTCAATCTACCTCAAATCTTTGTCTTGATCTCTATGTATCGCCGAGATCGTAGGCTGGTTTTGCCGCCCGCGCCGGCTCACCCGCATCCTCGTACTCGACCACCAGATGCTGCGTTCGCGTGATGCCGGAGCTTTGCTTGACGTTCTGGCTCTCGTCACTGCCGGGTCGATGGCTCGGGCCCAGAATGCTGTCCTGGCTATCGTGGCCCAGTGTCCCTTCAGAAACACCCGACTTCCCATGTTGCTTTGTTGACCGAAGAGTCTTGCTTCCGATCGTTGCGAGCTTCAACCCAGATCGATCGTTCGATTTATAGCCACCTCGGTCCCGCCCACCTCCCAAACTACTAAAGAGGCCGTGGCCAAGGAGTTGGTCGAACAGTGGCTGTAATGTTGGTATGCATGCGCCGATGATGATAGCATTACCCTCGATACTCGTCCAAACGGTAATATCGGCCGTATCGTCTATACAGTAGTTTCAGCATCTATGATTGACCTCGAAGGCGGCTCTACTCACAGCTAAAATCTGCGCTCGCAAGCGCAGGTAGCCGAGTCGATTTATACACAGCTACAACTGCAGCACTAGGTCAAGCGTGAGCGAATGTTACCACATAACATATGCGAGCTTACATGGAACCTAGCCCAAGCGCAACGCTAAGGACAACCTTTTTCTTGAAGTTGATTTGCAGTTTATAAAGGACAATAGCGGGATATATGGCGAGGTAGAGATCCACTATGGCGGAAAATGCTTCACGATGGTCAGTTATTGGCCTGGCTTGCTCGTGGGAGACATACTTCCGGCTACAATGGCGTAATATATCAGAATCCAAGGGCTCCAGCAGGTGCCTTGGACGGAAAAGTCCCACTGCGATCGAGTTGGCGTGCATTGCGCGAAGATGATGATAACACAGCCGAACAGGATTATCAAGCAACCACCAGATATACTCCACAGGATTATCTTGTGTCTCTTGCTAGGATTGGTGATTCTCGTCAGGAGCGCGACCACAGCTAGTTTAGGAATAGCGAACGAGAGTATCCCGGGACAGAAGCCTGCGAGGGTGTACAAGATTGCGCCGGACTTCTGTTCATCGGAGAGCAGAGCGAAGTGACGCCCGTTGCCAGCCTGCACAGCTGCTATAGTGAGGCCAAGCATGATGTAGCCACACGTCTGTTCGAAGCGTCAGCGGGTTGGGTCCGTTACGCGTGCTTCGATGAGCACTTACCATTGACAAGATGATCAGCCAATCATCAAGACCCATCATTGACAGTATTCTGCATCTGACATAGAGTCTCGCAGCGACAAAAATTGTAGCGACTGTCGTTAGTGCGATGCATACCGTCAGAACCATAGGCCCCTTGTCCTCGTGGGCGAGTTCCGGGGGGAGTTCTTGTGCTGCTGCCATGATGCAACAAGCAAAGATGCCAAAATGAAATTGAAGTGATCGCAGTATTACTGCAGCATACGCCCTTGGATCTGGATTTGATATTCGCCCAACGGGACGTCAGACGCTCAAGCGTCTTATGCATTGCGCGTGCGAACAAAAGCATTGTTGCCTTCTGACTGGGGGCTCCGATTTGAGACGACTGCATACTCACAGCAAAACAAAGAGATCCCATCAGGCCATGGGCCGCTTCCTGAGGTAGGGGTTGCAACGATCATCCAGTACTGAGCCGCTCTGGTGGACTAAGGTCCCACATGTATTCGCACGTACATCGGTTGCATGGATGCGACGAAATTGTGCCATGATTGCATACAACGTAAGATAGATTTATCCAGCTTCGTGTGGACAACGTGACTTCCGTCGTTGTTTTCTCGCGCAATAAGGAGCAAGGAACAAGCTGTGATTAGTACGGAGTATGCTGCTAGGCAATGGCGGTATCCGCTTGGTCGCTCACTGACTGACGAATACCATAGAACGACTCCTAGAGCAAGCGTTGCGGCGCTTGGATCAGCTGGTTCGGTATCCACATGCCACTGGTTCCGAAGCGGTTATTGCTTTGGTCGACGTGCCGCACCCTTCTTCGGTTCCAGTGCCACGGGCCGTATTGTGGGTTTTGGTCCACATCAAGTCTTTTCTCCGCATCATTCGCATTATCCTGCGCAAGTCGAAACATCCGTTCCCGCACATGCCGCGTGCCGGGTATCTATTCCATGGCGGCATCTGTATAGCCTCCTCTTGCTGATCTTTTAGAGTTCTCAAAGACCTTCTAGAAATACCAACCAACGCAAGACCTGATGACTGACGCAGAACAATCACGGTTGACCACCTGGCGCTCATGGAGGAACCGGAGCTAATCCTAGAAATTCGTATCAGGTAGTCCCTTTTACCACCGGAAAGCCATAACGATGATGCCAAGATGGGATACAGCATTGAAGTGGAGATCAGGCCTACTGACTTTACCTAAATGTCCCTCCCCTTGGTCGAAGTACGCAACTCTGGCTACGAATGCTCCGCGGACTCACCATCGCTCTGCCGGCGTATGCCAACTCAAGCTATCATCTACATCGGGTTGTTGTTCCCGTCCGTCATGGCATCCTTCTCGTCTGATAAGGTGGTGCCATGAATCAAGAGCTGTTAACCATGTTGGCAATGGTTTAGTGCATCTCTGTGGCAAGGTTGACTGGAGAGAACAGACTCGGACTTATAAGGGAAAGAGAGCACCATCATCGTCTCCGGCAATACATTAAACACAATTGGGATCTTTTCACCCTTACCATTATTTACTGTTCCGCCGCCCCTTCTTCATAACGTTCGATCGTGTCTAAACTTTTGCAAAGATGCTGGTTGACGTCAGCATTGCAGTACGTGCGAACGATCCAGGTGCCGTTCCATGCCTGCTACAGAAGCTTTCGGAATTCGGGGGTAAACCCTCTGCTGATCACAATGATACTCGTATGGCAATGCTTTCGCACGCCAAAGCTCTTGTCAGGGCACTACAGACTCCCCGTGAAACCATGATTGAACAGAATTGGGCGCAGGTATGTGTTGAATCGCTGTTCGCCTCGCCTGAGCTAAGCTGTGTTACTAGCCGGGTTGCCATACTGCCATCACAACTTGCTATAATGCAGGTGTGTTCGGAGTGCTCGGAGACCAACCGATGAAGGTCGATGACATTGCAAGCAAGCTCGGGAAGCCTCGCGAGCTCTTAGGTGGGCTCTCATGTTGGCAGATCGTTCCGGTTACTCGCTTACACTGCCAGCTCGCTTGATGAGGCACATCGCAGCCATGGGTTTCATCACTGAGACAAATAGTGATGAATACAAGGCCACAAACTTTTCGAAAGCATTGACCATACCTATCATTGGAGATGGCTACCCAGCCCTGTAAGTGTTGTGGCATGATTGACGCAATGTTAAGATGAGTACTGGGCTAATTAAATCAGTGCTGGTGGAGCCCATGAGTCTTGCAGCAAATTCTCACAATATTTGGAGAAGAACAATTACGAACTCACTACCGATATCACAAACGGACCATACCAGTACGCATTCGGGACGGAGCTCGATATGTTTCGGTATCTGGATACTCATCCGCCTTTGGGACAGCAATTCAATAACCACATGGGTGGCTATCGGCAGGGTCGACCAAGTTGGATGGATAGCAACTTTTACCCAGTTCAAGAGCAGCTCATCCATGGCATGGACACCTCCAAAGACGCTGTACTATTGGTAGATATCGGTGGAGGCTACGGTCATGATGTCCAAGAGTTCAGGTAGGATGTCGTGTAAGCCTAAGTCTGACTCGCCTGCTGACGATACATCCAGAAACAAGTATCCTCAAGTCCCTGGTAGGCTTGTGCTACAGGATCGCCCGTCCGTTATCGAAGGAATTGAGCAACTGGATCCCATCATCGAACGTATGGAGTACGATTTCTACCTCGAGCAGCCATTAAAAGCGGCTCGAGCATACTATATGCACTCCGTGTTGCACGACTGGCCCGACGATGTGTGCAGGAGCATTCTGAAGCAGGTCGCCGGCGCCATGAAGCCAGGTTACAGCAAACTGCTGATCAACGAAAACGTCATTCCAGACACGGGTGCAGACTGGCAGGCCACCGCCTTGGATATGATGATGATCACACTCTTTTCTTCAAAAGAGCGGACGTATACCCAGTGGAGCCAGCTGTTGGAGTCACCCGAGATTGGTCTTAAGATTGTGCGTGTTTACAGTGTCAAACATTCGCAGGAGAGTCTGATTGAGTGCGAACTGGCGTGAATGTTCGACGGCTGAGATGGGAGTCTTTCAGACATCCGCAAGAAGTGACATCTGCAAGACATACCCACATGGCCCTAGTTCTTTCCTGAGACTGCGCACAATACATGACTTAGGCTTGGGGCAGTTCCTTGCACGTGTCTGATCTAGCTCTCTGTCGATCTTGCGTGTGGTTTGCGCCTTCCACTATAATACAGGCTGACAATACCACAGGCAGCTGCTGCGCACTATCCAAGCATGAAATATCTAGTGCACCAAGCAATGCAAAGATATGTAGATCTTGCTCGCTATGCAGAATTGATTGTCGTGATGCCGATCCAGAAAAAGGAAGGTGTAGAGCCGGCGACCATTGAGAAAGCAGTGACATATCGAAGTTCTCTATCGGTGACATATCGTTTGTGAATTCGCCAACCGTATCGCCACTCACTTATTTACACGGGCAGGAATTGCGCCTTGTATACCGGATGTAAGGGGAAACGGTTTGCATCTTGACTTTCCTCGTGCGATCTTTTCCATAGGAGACCTCATCAATCACAACTTCAACATGGCCTGTGGGGGAGGCTGTTGTGGCCCCAAGAGTACAACCGCAGCTATTGTCAAGCCAGAAGTTAATCCTGGAGTGCTCACGGAGGCGGTGACGGAAACGACAAGTAACGCAATAGCGACGACGCAACCTGCAGTGGATGCAACACTGACGCCTTCCGATTCCGAACCTACAGCATCTTGGCCTGCTGTCGCCAACCTGAAATATGCCACAATGCAGCCGAAAGGTTCATGCTGTTCACCTTCAGATCCTACGAAGTCAGACACGTCGAAGTCTCTGTGCAGTCCGTCAAAGCCAGCAGCAATTCCCAAGCCAAGCACTTCTTGCTGCTCAAGTTCAACACCTGTGGGACCAAAGCCAGCCAGCGCATGTTGTCAGCCATCGGACTCTCAGAAGTCGAGAGCATCTGAATCTTCCTGTTCTTCATCAACACCCAAAAAGCAGGAGGCACCCAACTCCTGCTGTTCGTCACCAGAATCTGTGAAGCCAAAGCTTACCAGCTCATGCTGTTCGCCGTCAGGATTCGTGAAGCCGAAGCCAGCAACCCCATGTTGCAAATCACCTACGCCGCTCGAAACGGAAATCAAGGCATACGGCGACAGCAGCAGCAGTTCGACTAAGGCTGATCCTGAACCTGCTTGCAGTGCCGACGCTACGGATGGCTGCTGCGCAGACGATGGGTACAGTGTCCCTGCAGACACCTGTGCCAGTAGCTGTTGCGAACCTGGGCGGAGTGATTGCGCGGGCACGACTACGAAAACATCGAGAGCATCTTGCTGCACCTCTTCACCCCAGGCATGCGCAACTATCGGGGCCGAGACATCATGCTGTTCACCCACAAACGCTTCCAAACGCTGCCCTGACAAAAAGGTAGCCCTGATCGACGCGACTGAGATTGCGAGCGGTTCGGATAACATCGACCTGGAGAAGGGCGGCGTCACACGTGAACACCTTGTCATCAGCGTATCTGGCATGACCTGTACAGGGTGCGAGACAAAGCTACAGCGAACACTGGGTAGTCTCGACTACGTCAGCAAACTTCAGACCAGCCTGGTCCTTGCCCGCGTCGAGCTCGATATCAACACCAAGCTTGCGACTGCCGACGATGTGGTCAAACATCTCCACCGCACAACTGAGTTCAAATGCGAGATCGTTTCCAACCAAGGCTGTAGTCTGGATCTTATCTGTTCGGGAGACCCAGCGGCTTTTGTCAATGGGCAGTGGCCGGATGGAGTGTCAGACGTACGCCGCCTAAACAAAGATACAATCCGTGTGGAATACGATGCGAAGATTGTGGGGGCGAGGGACTTGATGTGTGACGAGTGGAGTCGGTCATTGCAACTTGCACCGCCTTGTCCAGACTCTTCTTTGGAAGCTGGCAATAGGCATGTTCGAAACATGGGCTTGTTGACGTTGCTCTCTGCCGGATTGACCATCCCCGTACTGGTCATGGCATGGGCACCTCTTCCTGAGCGCGAGATTGCTTATGGCTCCGCGTCACTCGCCCTCGCTACTGTCGTCCAAGTTGTCATCGCAGGTCCTTTCTACCCGAAAGCGCTCAAGGCATTGGTGTTCTCTAAGGTCATTGAGATGGATCTGCTCATTGTACTGAGTACAAGCGCCGCGTACATCTTCTCAGTTGTTTCGTTCGGCTACCTAGTCAGCGGAAACCCTCTATCAACGGGCGAGTTCTTCGAGACAAGTACGCTGTTGGTGACACTCATCATGGTCGGACGATGGGTGGCATCGTTGGCGCGACAAAAAGCGGCAGAGTCCATCAGTATTCGTTCCTTACAAACCCCTACTGCCATGCTGGCCAGCGACGACGGGATGGACAAGGAGATCGATGCTAGGATGTTGCAATATGGAGACATCTTCAGGGTCGCTCCAGACTCGCGCATTCCGACAGACGGTACCGTCATCTCGGGTTCTTCGGAAATTGATGAATCGATGTTAACAGGCGAGGCTCAGCCCGTTGAGAAGCACACCAAGTCGGCCGTTATTGCAGGAACCATCAACGGAAGCGGAACGCTTACCGTCCGCCTAACCCGTCTGCCTGGCGATAATACCATCACGACGATTGCGGGTATGGTTGACGAAGCAAAGCTTTCCAAACCCAAGATTCAAGAGATTGCCGACACTGTAGCCAGCTACTTCGTCCCTGTTGTAGTGACCCTGACAATCATCACTTTCGTCATCTGGGTCGCCATTGGGATTGCGATACGCCATCAATCAGGCTCAGAAGCGACCATCGAAGCCATCACGTATGCCATCACAGTCCTAATTGTCTCGTGTCCTTGCGCTATCGGTCTCGCGGTTCCTATGGTTATCGTGATCGCGTCCGGCGTCGCAGCGAAGCGCGGTGTTGTCTTCAAGACCGCAGGTAGCATCGAAGTCGCGTATAGAACGACCGACGTAGTGTTCGACAAGACGGGTACCTTGACAGCAGGAAGGCTGGCGGTGGTGCATGAGGAGTATGTTCAGGGTGGTAGTGCGGATGACGCCAAGTTACTTTTGGGTTTGCTTGGCAATGTCAAACACCCCGTGTCGGCGGCCATTGCAACACATCTCGCGTCGCGAGGTCTATCAGCTACAACCGTACCAGACGCCAAGGTGGTTACCGGCAAAGGTGTCCATGGGATGGCCAATGGTAAGAAGCTACGCGCCGGTAACTCGAGATGGCTTGCGCTTTCCGAAGATCCGCGTGTCCGCTCCATGCTGTCCCAGGGTTTCACCACCTTTTGCTTCACCATCGACAGCACTCTAGTAGCTATCTATGGTCTGCAGGACACATTACGACCCGACGCAGCATCCACCATCGATCATCTCCAACGCAGCGGCATCAACGTCCATGTACTGTCTGGCGATGATGATGGCGCTGTTAAGAGGATTGCCTCGCAGCTCGACGTACCAGAAGAGAATGTTCGCTCTCGTTGCTCACCTGCAGATAAGCAAACTTATATTCAGAGCCTTCTCGCAGCACCTTCAACAGCTCTTCTGACTGGCAAGTCTCGCAAGCCGATTGTCATGTTCGTTGGGGACGGCACAAATGACGCTGTTGCCCTTGCTCAGGCCACAATCGGCGTTCATATGTCGAGCGGTACTGACATCGCACAATCCGCTGCCGATGTAGTTCTTGTCCGTCCTAGCCTGTCAGGCGTACTGACCATTATCAACGTGAGTAGGAAAGCGATACATAGAATCGTTTTCAACTTTAGCTGGAGTTTCGTATACAACACTTTCGCTGTACTGTTGGGTGCGGGCGCCTTCGTGCACGCGAGGATTCCGCCGGAGTTCGCGGGTCTCGGGGAACTGGTCAGTGTACTACCTGTGGTGTTGGCAGCAGTCTTGTTGAGATGGTCGAAAGTCTGAGGATAGTGGCATATGTAAATCGCAGTTAGCGTGTTACGAGTTGAACAATGTCACGTCATGTATCAAGGATGTAATGTAGACAATGGTCCATGTTCTCTTACAAAACTACACTACTCAAACACGCAGAGTCTAATGGGGTATCATGCAACTCGACAACTGCCTTCCCAGCATCCGGCTCTCTCAGGGTAGGAGTTTCTGCTCAAACTCATGTCGCTCGCGGTACTTAGCCAGAGCGATTGGGACTTCTCCGCTATACCCCAGTTCCCCTTGCGCCTTTTCTAATTTCCTTGTCACTTTGCCTACCAGCCGTGCGATCCAGCGATCGTTGGCCATGGCATGTACAGTGTTCTGGCCAGCTTTTCGCATGCCCACCATAGTCTTGTTTGATGCTTCTTTGAAGCCAGTGTCAACCTTCTTGAGGAATGCTTTGAAGCTCTTGTCCTCATTACCATTCAGCGTGGTCTGTGACATTTCGCTGTTATTAGTATTGACTGAAGCAAGACTGCTTGCTTCGCTATCAGTAGTGCTGACACGCTTCAGTTCGCGTAGAACTTTGGCCTCCTCAAAGTCTTTGTCCGACTCGATGACTTTGGTAGCTTTCACGATCGCAGCGACGAAGTTAAGAAGATCTTGATGGAATTGCGCTGGGAGGTGAGCATGTGCACTAACGTGCATGGACGCTTCGTCTTTCTTTAGCTTTTCAAGCTCTTTCCGAGCTAGGATTTGCTTTGGCGTAGGTTCGGCTTCGTTGATGGCAGACTCCATCTCCAAAAGGTCGAAATCGCTCTTCTTCTCGGGGAAGATGTGCTCATGGTGTGGAAATAGGAACGTTGGAATTGTGAGAACGGCATCGGCACCTCCTAACCGCACAACTTGCTTAAGCTCGACGGCGTCTGGGAGGATTCTATAGGCCATGACGTCGGAGATCTTGAAGTGAGTCTGAATGTTGTAATTGGTGTTGATGGGGAAGTGGGCTTCGCTAGCCATCGGGCCCAGCTCTACAGCGAAGTTGGCATCTGCGCACCAAGCTGATATCCGCGCCTCCAATCTACGAATCTCCGCATCTTGGGATGAGTAGTGCTTGAAAAAGTACTGTCGCATCAAGGCCGTGAACCACTTCCCTGACCCAGCTGCAGTAATGGACTTGAACTTGACAGGATGGAAGTAGCAAATGGGACTCAGCATCAATCGGTATAGGAAAGGCAACCGATGTAGAAATTTCTTTACGTTCGGGTATGATGTTTTCCGAAGAGTGGAGACTCTGATCGATTTGGTAGGTGGGTGAGGTATGGATGGTTGTCCATGGACCTGGGTACATATTGCTGCTCGGAAGTCATCCATGTTATCAATGTCCAGGCGGACGCCTGGCTCTTCTTTCGACTTCTTGGCATCTTTGGCGTCTTTTTCGTCATCGGATGAACCAGCCTCAGCTCGTGCTTTCGAGGCCTCTACCAGTGTCTGTTTCGCCTTTGTAATAGCACTTGTGTCGTTGATGTAGCGTACTAGCTCTTTGTACTTCTTATGGGCCTGCTCTTCATCTGGTGACACTTTCTTAACGGAAGAGAATGCGGATGCAGTATCTTCAGCCTCAATTGGCTTTTTTCCAGCTGTCAGATTTCGGACCATATCAGCCGGGCGGCCATTGGCTCCCCCTTTCATTGTCGCTGCTCTGAGAATAGCCGTATTGGTGACAACCACGGAATCGTCGTCGTCTGGCTCCGGGATACCATACTGCACATCCCCAAAGGTGACTTCCCAATCCCCGCCCTTCACATTCGCATAGACGTCGTCAACAGTTATCTCTCGGAACAGTGGTACCGTAACTTTATCAACTTGAATGCCAAGCTCGATATCGTCCGAGAGCTTTATACCAGCCTCGACTCCATGAGCAACGAGTGTCATTGTTGAAAGCGAAAGCGTAACCCCGCGGATTACGAAGAGTCCCTTGACTTCGGTGTCGATTTCCAGGGCAGGCAGATCAAAGAAGGCTACTTGATCGTTGATAAAATGGAGGTCTCGTAGGAACGTCTTTCGTAAAGTGCGACGTGCCAGTGCAGCAGGTGCTTCAAATTGGAAGAGGCAGGTAATGAAGAGTACAGGCCAACAAAAAGCCCAGAATACCCAATACAGAAGCCACGAAGTCGCACATACGGCGTACACCAAGTTTACTGTCGCGAAGATAGTCCAGACAGGAACAAAAGGCAGGATACGATGCCCATACGCCTCGCCAAGTAGGATTGCGTAGACGAATATGGGCGCTCCGGAGATGACCCATCGCAACGGCCAGGAGAAAGAAAGTGCTGCTAGGAGGGTTCCGGCGAGGAAGGCATTCGGTATCAGTCTGCTCGTAAGTTCTCGCCCTTGTTCAATCGATGGCGCATCTGTAGTCGGCGAAGGAACCGCTTTTCGTTTGGAAGCGGCCGGCGCCTCACGTTTTGCGGTGGAATCCATGCCGTGGAGGCTGCGGAAAGTGTAAGAGGAATGTCACAGGTAGTAGAAGTTCCGATGGAGAGAATGCATGGTGTTTGTGGCATACGACTAGTGCAAGTGCGAACGCGACGGTCATCAAGCAACTGGTTCTTGTGACGTCATGGTCCTGTTCGAGACTACCCCCGCACAAAAAGAGGCAAGAGCACTCCGGGCCAGACCTGATTTGTCGCTGAAGGGGGTATGATGAACGATATGGCTGGCCAAGGCATTTTTGTATAACCGTTGGATCACCGCTTGCAGCATGCCGATCGCCGTCTTGAAAGCCTGCCTTGCAAGGTTTCCATGTCGTGAACGGTGACGTAAACGCGCTAGTACTCGTTCGTCGTCGCGATATTGACATCCGCGTCTTGCCAGATTATTTCCGTAAACAGTCTATGTATGGAGAGAGCGTATACATTGTTTGGGGACGATCAGTTGATTTTCTATTCATGTACGACCTGGCGGAATTCCACCCCAGGTCCCATTTGAGAACCATGTGCCTGCTCTAGTGAAGTCGCTGTATGCTACGCTGCCGAACAACTGGTAGCTAATAAATCCAAACCGGAAATATTCATCCTGCCCACCGTCTGACCGACTCCAAGTGAAGTTGCCTTCATCACTCCCACCAGAGCCACGATATCTCTCTACATCGTTGACCACCACACTCACGCCCTGGTATCCGCGGAGTAGGCTCTCCCATGCGAAGGTGATGCTCGAGCCATTAATGACAGGCTCAAGGATAGCTGGGATACCCGACCCGAGCTGTCCATCCCCTCGTAACGCCGCTGCCGTTTGTAGGATGGAATCGAAGTCCCATCGTGCAACACCATTAACGAACAGTCCGACCAGCAGACCTTGGCACAACAAGCTCACGCGGGTCTGTAGCGCGGTGCCTGGAAGGAGTAAGAGAGCAATGATGTAGTGGTGTATCCTAAGTGTGAGTTTCGGCATAGCAGCGAGTATGCCCAGGCCAAGGCCTAGTGTAGCATATAATGCAAGATAGCGTGGCAGTCGCCCTTCCCTGCGGAAGCACCATGCTTGGTATAGAACAACAGCGAACAGGATAAGTACAATGATTACCAATGCTGTGATAGCGCCCGGTTGTTGGCGGATGTCGTTTCCTGTGAGCCGCTGTATGGGTATACGTTCAAACGTATAGTTCCCTAGTGCGCCAACCCAAGCCCCACCTACCCAGAGCACGGTCTTTTCAACTTGTGCCTTGCAATTGCGCAGGGATTTGCGGACACTGAATTGATAGAAGAGGGCGGCAGCTAACGCAGCGGGCAAGAAGCGGCCGAGTGTTGTAGAAGCCAAGGAGGCGTAGTTCGAGTACGAAGGCGGATCCGATGCCATACCAGTCTGGAAGAACAATATTGTAAAAATGGGCGCAAAAAAGGTGACAGGACTTGTGGTGAAGATGCCGAACAGAGCAGTAAAGATTGTCGAGAGGATAAGCAGGTTCCAGCGCGGATCCTCACATTTGGCCGAAGCCTGATCAAATGTGAATGCCATTGGAAAGTGCGAGTCAAAGCCAATACTGCTTATGCCATGCCGTGTAACAGCGCCGAAACTGTCTCGTTCTCCTATTAGAGAAACGACACCACAGCCACCGTAGCCATCGCTGATGACTCCAGCGTGAATAGCCGCTGAGCAAATGAACGAGTCTCCGCGATATACCAACGCATCACTCTCAGGACCTGGAGCACCTCCAACGACCAAGGATCGGTAGTTTATGACTTGCGGTCCGATTGCGCGAGGGTTGAGCACTTGGGCGCTCGAGCATCCGGCGGGGCAGTTGAAGGCAAACGAAGCATTGGAGAAGGGGAAGCAATTACGGCCGTCGGGCCCACAGCTTTCTGGGGATGGCCTGGCGACGATCAGCACAGTCACGATAGCTTGGGGTATAAGAGGAGAGGCCATACCACAGGTTGTTGACACACGACAGCTTTACCGGCGCTCCGAACCCTCCAATGTCAGAAGGAAGCCCACCATCACTGACGACTACAGCGAACGTGACAATCCATACAACACATGCGATAGCGTAGATGCAAATGCGTACCCACTCTGGCAGCCGCGCGAGCAAGCGGACAGGCAGTGTTTGCCAGCGCTCAAGAAAAGGCGTGATGGTGTATCTGCTCGGCGGCTTCGGCCCCTTCACCCACTCGACCACCTTCCAGCCCCAACGGGCGACAGGTGCTGGCGTACATTCCCCCAACTTCCTTGTCCATGGCGGGGTACGGCGAGACTGGCGGTGCGGTGCGACAAGTTCTGTGCTCTGGCCACTCGGTGTAACTCGATCGCGGTTGTCATCGCGTTTGGTCCCATGCTCTAGGTCGATGGTCTCCAGAACCACGCGATCGGGAGTGTCGCGTGCTGCCATTCGGGGGTACAGATGGGAAAAGAACAACGACAGCGGCTATACATACGCGACTATCATGTTGAAAATGATACCGAAAATACACGCGATGGGTATACGAGAAGAGACTATTGACTTAGGACCAAAGTGGCGCACGGCAAGCATCATCGACTCCACTCTGCCGCGCCACAGGCCTCAGATACGCAGGTGGCTCCGATACCACCACAAGCTAGACATCCAGCCCTATCATTCTGCAACTCCGAACATGTCGCGACAATTCCATAACCATGAGTTGCATCTCACTATTGTTTCCAATTGCGAGCAAGACAGGAGGAGCTGACAACGACTTTTCAGGGCAGGAATCAACAATATGTTGGTGTTTTATCCAAGGTACAAGCCATTTGATCTATATGAGTTGACAGCGAGGCTACCATTCCTTTTCTTGTGTCATTAACCGGGCCTCCCCCATGAACCATCTCCATACCACGCGGCCGTCCTCGTGGCACTCGATCTTCAGACCGGTCTCGAAGTTCCCGTCGCATGCGCTACGTTTCGAGTGTCGCCATAAACTTTCGCTTCTCCTACGAAACAAGCGCACGTTTGGAGAATCCGCATCAAGTGGACACGATCTCCCAAACGAATGGACTGGTGCATTTCATAGTCTCAAAAAAGCCACACATCCTCATGGTGCAGGGATCGTGATCACCTTGTTTGGTAGCAAAAGGTTATGGCGGACATTCCCCCGACCAACCATCGCCCCAAGTTGTTGTCCATGCCGAAACGTTCACCAGCTTCAACACGTTTTTGGATCAGGGATCTCATACTTTTTGTATGGAACCATTGTTAGCCGGCTGGGGTCTGGCGCCCGCATTACCGCCGCTTCAACATCGTTGCATGCTGTGAATGTTCGTCGCCTTTATGGGAATTCCCCCTTGCTATGGCTGCACCGAGCAGACCATATGAAATCCGACCGGTGCTGGTACGCCGTGATGTTCCAAGAATGGCAGCTGCGTTCGTCGTAGCTGAGGATCGTGAAGAAAAGGTTAGAGATACGAACAAGCGCAGAGGCGGGACAAGACTTCAACAATCGGATGCGATCATGAACGGAACGTGGGAAGGACAGCCGCCCAAATCACCACCACAGCCGACAACTCTACCCACCGAGACGGAGGAAATACTGTCATCGCGGACCGAACAGTTTTCATCTCTAGCCATGCCGACGCCTGTCGGTATAGAAGAAACGATCCTCCAAGCTATATCTATACCCTCGATATCAACGGATGCTACCTTGACTGCTCTGCCTGAGCTGGTAGCGTTTGCCGTCAGACCCACCCTCACCGCTCAAGCCGATGTCAATATTAATGGAACAAGTACCATACGAGCGGCTTCAACTACGGTGCCAGCATTTCTTGTAGACTCTGGCGCGAAGATAAATGAAGAAGCGCTTCCAGGCATGAATCAAGAGGACCCATTGTTAGTGACGGTTCCCGGAATGAATCAAGGTACGTCCAGGTCGGATTATATACGTGTGAGACAAACACTGACTTCCTATCTTCCTTTCTACAGAGGATCCTCTCTTGGTGACCGCACCCGCAGTAATGCCGACCGCAGCTCCTGAAAGTTCGTTAGCGACCCCTTCGACTTCTGCGATGACAGTAGAGAAGCCTATGCCAGGGAAGAAGCAACCGAAACCTACAGCAGATGCTGCAGTAGCCTCATTGACAATCCTGAGTGATTCTGCTTCGACTATCGCACAGACTTCGTCAACCACGAGCGCAACCATCTCGAGTACCATCGATGTCTCTACGGTTTCTTTCTCTTTACCGCCCACATTGACTATCTCTACTTCGTCGTCAACAGAATCTTCGACAACGACAAGCTCCTCAACGCTGCCTCCTGTTCTTACTTTTGTCACGATTACAAGAACTGCACAAGGCAAAGAAGATGCTCAAACAACTACACAAACCGTGCCCGCTCCACTAGCTGTCACTGCACCACAATCGGCATCCTTATCGCTCTCGGCATCCTCTTTAGTAGTTGGATCGGCTACACCTTCGAGCCTGGCTACAGCCGTCAGTGTCGAGCCGCAGAGCGGCTTGACACCTCTAGCAAGATCTTTATTCATCCTTTTCGGCGTTCTTGGTAGGTAGATGTCCACATTTCATCAGAGTGAGGCTAACATTAACAAAGGATTTATTGCCATCCTTATTGCTTTGGGTGTAGTCTGGGTAATGAGATCGAACAGAAGACGTGCGCAAGCAGCTCGACAGCAAGCCGCTCAGAACCCCGCCCAGGAGACTGAAGAATACGATGGCTACGGCAACACGATACACATATCTTCCAGCAACTCCATCAAGACTTTCCTCACTGAGAGCGAGAAGGCCATTGTAAACCGTGCCGCTACGCCAGACGGTGACACAGACGTAAGTTTACTTGGTTCCATGAACAACCATCGCGATATTAATGGACTCCTACAGGCAAGCACAAAGTCGTCCCACCAACTCACTGACGCCATCAACTCCTTTATAACTAAATCACGTCGCCTGACTTACAAAATATCGCCTTAAACAAATCGCTCTACACGCTGTACTCGGGGTGGAATCAACACATGCTTGAACTTGTCGCCAGCACAACCTAGTACTGTAATCGGTTGCGGGACTTGTAATCTACTGTAAATAGCATGATAGACTGTATATAAAATGGTTGTGGCCTTTCCAAATGGTCGTTATCAATGCGGTGTGCATAATGAACATGTAACGTGCGCAGTTAGAGGTACACTCAAATTTCAGATAGTGAATGTCAACCCCCAAATAGCAGAGACATACCAGGCCTTACTAAATGTCGACTACAAGGCTGTGGAAGATTCTAATCTGAATGCAGCCACGCAGCATTGTAGCACGATGAGGCCGATAAGCTATAACTCGATGCGCAAGCAAAGAGCTCTGTTGATAAGTAGCAAACCAAGCCTTACCTATACAATAGAGAACGTGAGACTTTTACAACTGGACGTTCTGTCACGAAGATAATCTTTCTTGGCTTTATCTTTGTATCGTCTCACTCCAGATAAAGCCACCAACACGCTTCCACTTTTGTTTCCAAGATTATCACGCCACACTTACATCGGCCTCTTACCTGATGTTGCCAAGCCACTGACACCCTAAACCTCACACCATTTTCACGCTTTGTTTAGCCCGTTCATATGCTAGTCTGCGGCGTAGCGGCGTAGTCTGCAAGGCTAGTGCCAGAAGTGCTTACCAGCGTCGTTAGTGGCTGTTAGTGCTAGGTTCGACGGACCCCACGTTAGTTGCTGTATGAGGCAGTTTTGGAGTATAGCTTGGAAGGATAGTGGAGTAGTGTGAGCAATGGCCCTTCTTGCTTCTTGTATGCAAGCCTACAATGATTGGACGTAATAAACTTACAAGCTTTGCCCGAGGCAGCCTTGCCATCACCATGACAGCCAAGCATGTGTTGAGGCTCCAGACTTTTTGCTGAAATTCGTAAAGTCTATATTCTATTCGAGGAAATAATCTGAAGTATGCACATATAAAGTTCCTAATCATATTAACCACGGGTCCAATACTGAAAGAATACATGCCATCAACAATACAGCATGTGCACTCGATCCCAGTACAAATATGCAGCACAATACTTCAGCGCCTAGTCAATGATCTCATCTCCGGCCTTATCCACTCTAACAATAGCATTACCCTTGCACTGCGTGTATGGCAAGTCATCTTCGGAATGAGGAGTGCACTTAATTTCGATCAGCTTGGCACCATGTACAGTGACCTCGGTGCCATTGAGCGTTACGGTCTGCTCAAGCGCAAACGCTGTGAATAAAGTCAGTCTCACATGTTGGAGAGGCGGTAAAGGTTCGCTTACAGTATGATCCGGCAACACCGACGTCGCCGTCCAAGGTGTAGTTGAAACTGGCAGGAGCGCATCCAGTATCTGCTGAAGCCGCACCGGGCCTTTTGATAGTCTGGCAGCCAGCGGCGACGGGCTCACCACCTGCAGTGTTGGCGTCGATATATAAAACATCGACGTGGGTGGAACGGTAGCCGTACTCAAAGTTGTTGTCCTCAATAGCGATATTCCAGCCGCCGTAGTTGGAGGGAGTAGCTGCGAGTACGGCGGGTGCAATGGCAAGGGCGAGAGAAAGGATAGAGGCGTACATCCTGATGTTCGAGTTTGAGGACTTTCGATGTTTGTGGTGGGATGAGAGTCAGTTCAGCTGAGATTTAGAATTTGATGATGATCTTGGAGACGGGCAAGACAACTACACAAGTTCATGGCTATTTCCATACTGTCAGTGCTGAGTCCAACATGGTAAAGAATGGCGCAACCTCGGCCATCAGAATGGTACCCACCGGCGTTCCTGACGGTGTGGAGAAGGTTTAGATTGCCTTAAAAACTACGAGAGAATTCGTATTCGACAATGCGGTCAATGAAGAAGACATCCTATGCAGCCTGCGTATCCAGTTTTCCCGACTTCGTGATCGACGAATGCCACGCTAGGTGTAGCCCTAAAGCGGAGCTTGTCAGGTACAAGCATATCATCCATCAGGGAAGGCGTTGGCAACGAAACGTTGGCGGTACTCTAGTGCGGAAGCTGGGAAGGGGTAACCCGTCGGCGGTAGCTTGATATATCGACATGGCTCCAGTGCGCGATCCAATGGAACTTAGGTACATGCACGATACTGCACCGTCCGGGAATCTGCTCGTGTTGAACACATCGGGCAAGGAGCTCATGTGAACATGCATAACGTCAGTATGTTGTAACCAATGGCAACCAACCCTCTTTTGTTTTTGGAGGGGTTCGATTTTGTACGCGTGTAGTCCTATACAACCAGGTAAGATCTTCACTCTGCTAGCCTCCGTACAACCCTTGGCTGAAGCGGTCATGTTCAACTCGACATGGCTGTACAATTTCTCTTATTTTCTCTTTCTTTGTAATGGCTGTCCACAAGTAGGATCCCAAGAAGGACGTTTTTCGTCTGGTTTCCACTAACTCGTCGTGTCTTGGCCTGACTTAGCTGCGCATGATGGTTGCAGGCTACTACGTCGTGGCAGCCTTGTAAACATGGAGGTAGACAATCTCTTCACCGATCTCTACATCTCCCGGTAACGGAAATTCGATTTGGGTTTTCTTTATGAATCCTGCATCTTCCATGAGTTCGAAGAAGACTTCCTCGCTCGAATGACGCATCTTCATTGCGATAGCAACAACGATTTCTGGGCTTGCTTTGACCAGTCGTGTCAGAGTATTCACCAATGCTGGGCTGTAGATGGACGTTAGATCAACCTTGTTCCTTGATTTTATCAAACATATGGGATGACGTAAGAGAAAGCCATACCTGCTATCTGGATTGTATGTGCAATCAGCCGCGACTACAAGATCAAGCTGTTCTGAGGTAGACTGCAAAATATCAGGCAGATCTGCATCCCAGTCCAGCTCCATGAAATCTAGTGACGCGCCTGGTGCTTCGATAGCATAGTGCATATTACGCTCTACAATCTCTCTGGCCTCTTGAAGGTCGGTTAGGAGGACTTTGGAGTTCGAGATGGTTTGAGCGATTGCGATACCAACCATTCCGCAGCCAGTACCCAATTCGAGGACATTCAAGCGTGGTTTGGATACAGACGGTAGCAATGCTTTAGCTAGATCGGAGTTTGGGGTTGTCAGTGCTGTTATTTGACACGAGAGCGTGATACCAGCGTCCCTGTACGTCCAAGTCAGTGCTTACGGTTCGACACCTCACAAACTGAAAATATATACCATAAATGTCTTGCAATGCTCTCTCCTGTCTCCTCCCAGATGGTAGTAATTGGTCCATCTAGGAGCTTGAACCGCCTTTCCACTAACTTTGGAGCATCTACATCAGACGTGAATGGCGGACTCCAGGCAGACACGACACCTCGAGCGTCAGAGTCGGATATGGTTGCAAGCTCATCGTGAATTCGTTTCGGCTCCCCGCCCACTCTTACTCGCAAATGGGACCATGATGCCCGAGACCTGGGGAGGGGGAATGTGATGGGCAGACTCCGCATGCCGGCCGTCCACTGCACGGTCGACCATAGTAGCACATCTTCTTGCGAATCTGCAGTCGCCAACAGCTCTGCTGCTAGCCGGATGTCGTAAGGAAGAAAAGAATCTCCAAGATCCGATGTGATGGTAATGAGGCAGCTGACTTGCTTTCTCGCCGTGGTTTTGTCAGTGACAACCCGGGGACTTTTGAGGAAGCGGATGTATCGCATGGTGCATGGTAGAGTTTGTCGGAAAAGTGTGCCGAAAGCAGCAAGACTGTGGGGGTGAAAGGCTGGATGTGGGGTGCTGCAACGCTGGGACGCAAGGCTGGGGATTCTGAAGGCTAGAATGCCCAACCGAGCCGCATCTCATCTACCACGTCGTCATACCTCAATTTGTCCCGAAAGGTTATGTGTTTGTTTCTGTGTTGAAGCCAATGCGCTGTCGCATCGCAGCATCTTGCTGCTACCCGCAATAACCCACGAAACCTCACTGAGCAAGAGCCCTCGCTGTCGTCATCGCCATCATGTACCGTCGCAGCGACCCCAGGTGGAATCGCACGCTCCACCAGATTACGGAGAATCTCGAGCACGCAAACGAATCGGCGCAAGAGAACATATACGGCTTCACCCAGCGCTACGTCAACCCATGCTTCTCGTCCATCACCCAATGCGTCAATGCGTGTACGGCGCCATGCTTCCCAGCGCACAACGACCGCCGGCGCAATCGCGGACGATCACGCGGCCGGGCAGAAGTCAGCTTCGACTTCTACGACGACTGGGAGGACGACGAGAACGACAGTCTTTTGGGCTGGGGCACCGACAACCTCGACCGCTTTCTCGGCGGCGCGGCCAACTATGGCGCAACGGCGCAGCCTGGCCGACAGAGCGGCATGACTTATGGACAGCGAAATCGCGATCCGAGATACAATACGCCGCGGCGCAAAAGCATGACGCTGCCGCGAGACGGCGCCCAGGACCCGACTCTCATCCCAAGTTCTTCTTACTTTGGCTTCCTGGGACGACTGCCTTGGAAGATTGGGGGTCGGGGACTGCGATACAAGCCATCGGCGGCAGACCTCACAGAGCACCCGGGCGCAATGCGAAGGAGTCTGGAAGAGGAACAGCCGCTGATCGACGACAGTGATGAGGATGCTCTCGAGGGGCCCGAGAACAAGGGACATCGCAGGCAGAGAAGCAACACGCAAACATCGGGACACACGACCGACTCGCTGAGTTCTAGAGGCGATATCTTCCCCAGCGAAGACGAGCTTGAAGACGCGGTACCGCTCGATGACGAGTTCACCATCGCGCTCGAGCGACGTACCACAGGCCAGTGGAACGAAGATAGCACCAGCAACAACAAGGCACGCTCAAGTAAGAGCAAGCGGCCCTCTGCATCACGCGCATCCACCCGAACTGTCTCTTCGCGCAACACAAGCAACTCAGATAAACCACCATTGACCCAGCGCTCCGCCTCCGAAACCATCGAAGAAGTCCCCACTCTCGACCAACTACAAAAAGAAGAGGAACGCCTGCGTCTAGAGGAAGAAATGGAAGTCCACCGCAAGCGTCAAGAAGCCCAACAGCTCGCCGTCAAGCGTGGCCTAGTCCCCGACCAAAAAGCCCTCTCTACCAAATCCAGTACGCCTCGCTCCTTGTCGCCAGCTCATGCAATGGCGACTGTGAACTCGACTGTATCGCCGCTTGTACGCACGCCCGCTGGCGAAACTGCGCCTGCGGCTGACCAGAGCGGCTCGATGCCATTTCCCAGTTTCGTAGATAGCCAGACGATGCCCGATAGTAGTGGGTTTTATGTTGATGAGAGTGACTATTCGAGCAAGGCTGTCACGCCGAACCGACCCTTGTCTATCAAGGAAGAGGTGAGGGAAGACAGGAGAGGAGAAGATGATGATGGAGAGGCATTTGTTCCTGCTCGATTACCGAATTTTGGGTCTGAGTAAGTGAGTACGAAGCTAGATACTACACACCCAGAAGAGACTAGTTTACGACGCATGCTATGGAGATATGAAGAGACGTAGCGGAAAGCATCTATTGTAATTAATGACCTGAGCGATTTCAATTCATCTTGTTTTAAATGTTATTACTATTGAGCTACAAGCCCATGTTGCCAAATGTAATCTGCTTCTTCGTCAATCCCTGGTATATTTCGTCTAGTACGCCTCTCTTTCGCTTCTTGTCTACCTCCTTCTCTTCCCGTTCGAGTTCCTCTTCATCGTCTAATTCGGCATCTTCTTCTGTTCTTGGCTTCCATGTCGCAATACTGCCATCAGCATGGGCAGAGTACATCTCCACGTGGTGTGGTCGCCAGGCCAGACTTGTGATTCTGTCCTTGACGTTACGCTGTCCCTTTGCTGCTGCTGCTGCTCCAGACGCGTTGGATGAAGTGTTCGTCTGAGGCTGCTGTGAGCGGCGTAGTCGACGGATCAGCTTACCGTCAAAGAGCTCATAGGTAAGGATCTCGTGCTCGTTAGGATAGAACATGAGATCAGCACCGGGCTGGAGATTTTGCACTGGCGCAAGAACGGGAATGCGAGGCGCAAGACCAGAGTTTTTGACCATGGGGCCAAAGTTTGCTAGGGTATTGGCACCAGTATCCGTGTCCCACACGCGTACTCGCGCATCGTGCCCGCAGGATACTAGGTGCTTGCCATCCTCGGTCCATACGAGCCCATTCACAGCGTCTCTGTGCGCCTGTGCGTTGGTCGAGTTGCGAGTAAAGGACGTAGATTTCCCAAGTACCCCGACTGAATCTTCGAGGTCCAGTACACCCAATTCACCTACACTGCGGCGTACATCCCAGAAGCGTATGCTGCCATCTGTAGCTCCACTGACAAGAATATGTTCGCGCACAGGGCTCCATGCTGTAGAGAGGATCGCGCCAGAGTGGCCTGCAAGACTGTGTGTCGTGGCGCCTGAGCGAAGATCGACGAGACGCACATTCGGATTTTGCGTCGCGCATGCGACAAGGAGATGCGAGGCGATGGGCGAGAGCGAGATGTTATACACGACGGAATCGAGGTTGAAAGACGCAGACGGCGCAAGCGTTTCGCTGGAGTAGAGCTTGACGGTGTGGTCGTACGATGATGTAAGGAATGCCAGAGAATCAAAGGGGTAGAACTGTATTTGCGTGATGCCTAACTTGTGCTCTTCACTCGTCTTGTTCACCGCCGTGAGGGGGAGATAGGTGTCTCCTGCCTCGGTTGCCGCAGTCTGCGCCTCGAGATCCCATACTGCAATCGAGCTGTCTGCGCCTCCAGAGAGCAGATATCGCCCCTCAAACTTGTCGATGGTTAAAGCATTCACCCCGGATATATGCGCCGGTATGCGCTCGTGCGGATCATCGAGGGCCGGTAGATGCTGGCTGAAGACTACGGTAGGAGACGGTTGCAGCGCGTATGTGAGGCGTGAGGCATAGCCGCGCTTGAGGACATGGTTGGGAATGAAGCCGTACGCGCGGTCGAGCTCGTGTTGAGTGCTCATATGCAACTACATGCTTTGTGTGCTTTGGGGCGACAGAAGAAGGAGAGGGTGCGCAGAGGATTATGACGTTGTAGCCCAGGCATCCGCAACGCGACAGGGATCATTGGTCGCAAGACATTCACCAACAACGTTCAAGCCTTGCAGTCGAGCAAGCCGCTTACCTGAACCCTCCCTTGTGCTTCAACACAACGACGACACAGCGCTATATTAGAGCCACCTCAAATGGCTACTGATAATGAAGAGCCTCGTCGTCAAAAAGTAAAGAAGAGACCGCGAAAACGACGCGCTACTGTCTACGATGCCGTCCATCGTAAGAGACGCATTTATTAACAATCAAAATGCACAACCTAACAATCTTCAAGGCAAAGTCGCTCGAACCGGTCTAATAGCCCACATCCGTGATCCAAAGGCATCCAGAAAACCACTGCGCCCGGATGAGGTTCTCTTCAAGCGAAAGAATGCTCCTATGCGATACGAGGAAGACGATTATTACCCTGCACACTCCAAGTTGCCTGCAAACCAAAAACTTCCCAGTGGCGACCTCGCGGATGTATTGAGGACCTACGTATCAACACTATGGGCCAGGACTAAGGGGCCCCGCATGATGCAAAGAACTTGGAGAGGTATGGACGAATCTGCGCTGATTGCTCTAAGTATCCTGATGGAAGAGACTGCTCGAGGCGCGCTAGGTGAGACGGGCGATCTAGCTTTTACTGAGGCAGCTGAGGAAGACGAAGAGCAGGTTCTTGCTCGTCAGAAGCAGTGGACTCAGGGTACTGGTGGTAAGAAAGAAGGAGCTATCGTTAGAGCCAAGAAGAAAGCCCAGGCTAGTAAAGAGAAGCAGCGCGCGAAGGAAAGGGCACGCTTAGAAACGTGGACTTCATCTGACGAGGAGTCACATGGCGACTTGGCAGAGGAAGAGCTGGAGTGAACATAACGACGTGAACGGGAGATGGACTTGCATACCTCAGAAGAGGGGGCTGTTGAACGCGATTAACGATCAGAAGCCCCGTCTCTGCCTGCGGTGAGAGTATCGAGAGATTTTTGGAAGAAAGAGGCAAAAACATGGCGTTTGATGACGAAGACGATATCTCAGCAAGCCAACAACGGGGCAAGATGTATCTTTTGAACTCTCAAGATACATTTAGGCTCGTGTTCTCGGCCCGAATATGCGAATCTATAGACAATACCGAAGCTAGGGAGCCACAGAGTCTCAGGATGCTGCAAAAGTGGCGTTGCGATCAAAGGTCTAGTTGATTGCGGTCGTGCCTACCTTCTTCGACGGCTGGCACCTTGGCGTGCCTTCCTTGAGGAAGACATCCGCCATGTAGAGCTGTTGAAGACTCTTGAGAAACTAATATCTACACGCGGTCTATCACGGTCATCAATTCTCGTGTATCGTTTGTATTTCACCTGGTTCGCAAGAGCATCTGTCGTTTCTAAGCGGATATGGTCAGTTCAGATATAGGAGCGGCTGAAGCACTCACTGACTCTGGGAGGCTCCGAAAACCCAACCCAACGCGCAGAAAGCGGCCTCTATTCTTGCCTGGTTCCACAAAACGGCACAGGCCCACAGCATCAAAGATCTCGAGAAGACACTGCCGCAAGTTTCCTCTATCAACAGCATGCAAGTTAAGGACTACCTCCAAGCACTCTCAGATGACAACAAAATCCGTGTTGAGAAGATTGGTAGCGGTAACTGGTACTGGAGCTTTCCAGCCGATGAG